TTTTAAAGATACAGGGTCTCCCTGTGTTGCTCAGGCTGGTCTTGAACTACTGGGCTCAAGCAGTCCTTCCATCTCAGCCTCCCAAAGGGCTGGGATTACGAGTGTGAGTCACCATGCCCAGCCGGCAGTGAGTCTTTCTACCGGCATGTTTCAACATAGGTATAATCATAATGTACACAGTCTTATGTTTTTAAGACTTTCCCCAACTTTTTATTAGGAGAATTCTCATACATACAGAAAAGTTGAGGGAATTGTACAATAAATACCTGCATATCCTCCACCTAAATCAAACTATATGTCAGTCTGTCATATTTCATAGGTATAATTTTGTATCTCTCAGTAATAGTTCAAGACATAGGTGCGTTCTAGTTTATGCTTCATTAGCCTATTTTGGAACTATACATTGTTTCCAAATTTCCACAAGATCCTCCCCGCTTTCTGAATTTTTATGGACTGTGAGAGCTGACAGACTAGAATGTTGATGTCATTACCCCTGAAATTTTTGTCTTTCGGGATGAGCCTAGAAACACTAACAGAGCACAGGAAACACTGGCAAGCTCAGAAGAATAAGCATCTTGAAACTGCAAGGAACCAACCGTTTAGAGCCCCCCAGTATCCTGGGACACTGCATGTGTATGATGCTGGCAGGTTGTCACTGCACTGGATTCACTCTGCCCTAGGAAGTCCATTATGGCTCAGACTCGCCTTAGGCTCTGGCAGCTGGGGCTCCAGTCCAGGGCTACATGTGCCAAGTGTGCCACTTGGCAGATACTTGGCTCTCATACAAGGGACTTTAGACAAGGGGAAATCTCCTGTGGAGGCTTCTTGGCAAAACTCAGAGTCTGTATCCAGGAGGTGAATGAAAAGGGGGCAGGACCCTGGTCAGAAATGGCGCAGTCATCATCCCTGGAAAAGAAGTCCTTACCCAGTGAGTCCACATTCTCATAACTCTCCTGCACCGTGTCCCTGGAGAGGGCCCTCTTACTAGGATCCTGATGCCCCCACTCCTCCTGGGAGATGTACATTGCCACGTCCTCTAAGCTCTCAGGCAACTGAAACAGCACAAGATCTCCTTTAGCCCCTGATGCACCAAGAACAATTCAGAGTCATGGGTTAAAGGGGCAAAATCGAGGGATGCCAAGCACACATCATGGGGGAAGAAGGGTGTCAGGCCTACAAGTGAGGTGTGAGACACAAAGAACTGGGGGACACTCTGTGGTAAGGGAGAAAGGACCTTCCACGTGGCAGAACCCCCCACCCCCAACACTCAGGGAAGGAAGGGTGCTGGGGGAAGACAACGGAAACTTCCACATCACCTGGGGCCCAGTCATCTTGTCTTCCATGTTCCCTTCAGGAGGAAAAAGAGAAAGCCAGGGAGCAGATAATGCTGAAGGTGACAGAAATTATGATGAGAATGGCATTCCTAATTCTTGGCAACTCAAGGATTATTAGAACACAGTATCCATTCCCCATCACCCAGTCTCTGCTTTCGGGAATGTGCTAAACTGCACAAAGGCCTAATAAACTGATACCCAAAATGACAGAGTGAGAGGAAAGGAATACTAAGAGTAGCACTCCAAACCCCTCATCAGTCAAGTAGCTTTTTTTTTTTTTTTTTTTTTTTTGAGACGGGGTTTTGCTCTGTCGCCCAGGATGGAAGTGGTGCGACCTTGGCTTACTGCAACCTCCGCCTCCCGGGTTCAAGCAATTCTCTGCCTCAGTCTCCCGAGTGGCTGGGATTACAGGCGCCCACCACCACGCCCAGCTAATTTCTGTTTTTAGTACAGACAGGATTTCACTATCTTGGCCAGGCTGGCTGTGAACTCCTGATCTTGTGATCCGCCCACCTTGGCCTCCCAAAATGCTGGGATTACAGGCAAAAGCCGCCACGTCAGGCCTTCAAGTAGTTGTAAATCGCCACTGTTCTGCATAAAAAAGGGCTCTACTAAGAGACTCCCTTCCCTCCCCCTAGCTCCAGAACCCACACCACCAATTCCAAGTCTTTCATTCCATGTGAGAGAACCTGAACTTCAGAAACTCCTCCTTCTTAGCAACAGCGCTACATCCTGCTAGCGTCAGGGGCAACCCCCAAGACCCTCCTCCCTCCCACCAGCCCAGATAACTGTTCCTCACCCCTCTCCTTTACAGCCTGGGGATCCCTTTGGGGGCTGGGGCCTAGCAGCTCCTGCAGCCTGGGGCCAGGGCTTCGCTCAGTCTCCAAGGGCTCCAGCTTGAAGCTCGGTGACTCTCGTGCTGTTCCCAGAGGCAAAGTCTCCTCCAAAAGCACTTCTGTTCCCCGCCCATGGTTTGTGACCTGGGAACCAACCCACATCACTCATCATCACAACAGGGCCCAAGAAAAAGGGAAATTAGTATAGGATTCTGAGAGCAAACCTTCATCAGAGAACCTCAGGCGATCCCTTTGGACCCAGGCAACAGAAAAATGGTTTACACTAAAGGCTTTTTTGATCCCATGTGGAAGGGGAGGGGTTAGGGAAAGGGCCCACTCCCAGAGCACACCTTCCCCACACAGCTCATAAGATACACCTCACTCCCTTTTGCTCTCCCCACCTTTTCTAGGTGCTTCTATTCCTCACTACAGGATAAGCTAAATTTGGGTGGCCCTGGGGGCCAGTGACCTCAGGGCCTCGGTGCCAAATTGTTTTTCAAAGTTCACAATTAACGGAGACCCAGCTCTGCAGAGAAGACCGGACCATGGATCCTAACATAACAACATCTAACAAGTACTAAGCACTAACTATAAGCTAGCAGTGTGATCACAACTTTACATGCTACTCTCCCTCTAAACTCTAGAAAGTATGTTAATATCCTCATTTTACAAATAGGAAAACGGGCCGAAAGAGATCAAGTTAACTTGCCAAAGTAAGACTAAGGATTTGAACGCTGACGATCTAACTCCAGGGCTAACACTAACTGTTGCAGACACTGCCTCTGCTTGGAAACAGGGCACTCTTCATTGCTTTTTCTCTTCATTTGGGGAAAATCTGGAGGATGTGTGTTTCAGGTTAAACCACAAGTCCTCTTCCCCATGTAAAGTCTACGAGGAGCAATATACTTGAATGTGACCGGGGGCGGGATGTCCCAGTCCTCGGGGCTAAACAAACCACAGATAAAACAGCTCTTTCTCTCACCTGTTGTCTCAGTCTCCCAAGCTCTCTCTGCATATCCTCCACAAGGGTCACCGCTTCTTCGCCGCTCTCCGGATGCAGCTCCTGCACCCTGCTCTGGATCTCCTGGGGCAGGATGGTCAGAAACTGCTCCAGCACCAGCAGTTCCAGGATCTGCTCCTTCGTGCGCATCTCAGGCCGAAGCCACCCATGGCAAAGCTCTTGGAGACGGCTGAGGGCTTCCCGGGGACCAGCTGCCTCTTGGAAGCGGAACCTTCTGAAGCGCAAGTGGGAGGCCTCGGGGCTCGGCCCTGGGTCAGGCGGGGGCAGCTCCGGGCTCCAGGCACAGTCCTCCTCCAACTTCACTATCAGGAGCCCTTCCCGTTCCTGAGAGCCCGGGACCAACGTCATCGTCAGGTCTCCGGAGCGCCTTAGCCCGAAACCAGCCGTGCCCACGGGCTCCCAATCCACGCCGAGGAGCCCCGGGGCCAGCCAATGCGCGGCTGGGTCCGGCGCCTAGGCCTCAGTCGGTTCCCGGCGCTGCCACGCCGACCCCCAGGCCTATCCGCGCCAGGACTTCCTCGAGGCAGGAACCGAGCACCGCCCTCCTCCCACTGCTGAGGACCCACGCACGACTCGGATCTCAGCTCCCACGCCGGAAATCCCAGCGCGCGAGTTAGGCGTCCACAAGCCCACGGCGCTTGCTCGTGACCAACTTCCGGATCACGTTTCGCGAACTTCAGCACCCATTGGGTCAGGTTTCGCCACACACTCACCATCGACCAACCAGAAGGGAAGATTTCCCTGCGGGGGCGGGACGAGCGAGGGGCCAATTGGAGAAGAGAGGCGGGGCCACAGAACAAGCCCTGAGAGTCTGGGAGGAGGTTGGGGGCGGGGCCGCTACATCCAAGCGAGGAAAACAAGCCCAAGGCGGTTGCGACTGACGGGTGTGACTGGCGGGCGACATGGGCTAGAATTGCTTTCGAGCGCTTAGCAGATCCCAGCGCCACGCACTCTCCAGTGCTTCAGTGTCCGGGTGAGGCCTGGAAACTTGAATTGTTAATAAGCTTCCCCCGAGGAATCCTTCCCCAAGGCAGGCCCTACCCGCTTCGGCTACTCTGGTCTGGCTGACATGGATCCCACTCGCCCCTGGGGCCTCGGCGGCTCCAGAAGCCGGGGGCCCCCTCGGCATTAGGGAGGCCGGGGAGATAGCCGTCCGCCCCGTCAGTGTGCCAACTGTGCCACTTGGCAGATGCTTGACTCTTACACAGGGGACTTTAGACAAGGGGAGAGTGTGGCCTGCAACCCGTGGCCTGCTGGGAGATGCAGTCCGCGGCGCGGCTTCGCCACTGCGCGTGCGCCCTGGGAGAACGCCCGCGAGATGGGCGATTCTGAGGCCGCGAGGCCGGGTGTGGCGTGAGGCTCGGAGCCGCGGGGACCCTCTGCTGGGCTCTGGGCTCGCTTCTGCACCTGGACGTCCCAGAGGAGCGCTCAAGGCCGGGCTCGCGGCACCTGCTTCCGATTTTAGAAAGGATTTTAAACCTGCGCAAGGCGTGCGGCGCCTGCCGTTCATTCTCTAAGTTCCAGTGCGTTGCCCAGCCCAGCAAGGTCGGGATCGGCTTCCAGCTGGACCGTGGGCTTTGATCGCGGGGGGGCAAGTGGCAGGAGGGCCGCAGGGCCGATTCCCTGTTGGGCGCGGTTGTGGGTTTTCTGTCTGTGAGCCGGGCTGCCCAGCTGTGAGGCGGTCCAGGTCCCCGGGGCCATGAGATCCGCAAATAGAAGCGTCCTGGGATTGAATAACAAACCAGTAACCTTATATTGACCGCTTCCTTATATGCAGATCGATCCTGAAAACACGTTTGTATGAAGTAGATGCTAATAGCAGCCCCTTCCTACAGGTGGCGGCACTGAGATAAGTCATTTGCCTGGGGTCACACAGCTAGTCGGTTGCCAAAGGTGAGACTATTATAAGATTAGTATGGGATTGAAAAGGGTCATTTTGGAATGACTAGGTGAAAACAGTACCGATATTTTCAGTTTTCTTCTTCTTTTTTTTTTTTTTTGAGACAGAGTTTCGTTCTTGTTGACTGGGCTGGAGTACAATGGCGTGATCTCGGCTCACTGCAACCTCTGCCTTCCGAGTTCCAACATTCTCCTGCCTCTGCCTCCCGAGTAGCAGTGATTACAGGCACCCACTACTACGCCCGTGTAATTTTTGTGTTTTTAGTAGAGATGGGGTTTCACCATGTTGGCCAGGCTGGTCTCGAATTCCTGACCTCAAGTGATATGCCTGTCTCGGCCTTCCAAATTGCTGGGATTACAAGCGTGAGCCACTACGCAGGATGTTTGGGGTTTTTTTGTATTTTTTTTCTTTTTTTATTATTTGTGGACTTTTTTTTCTATTTTACTCTAGAGAAGATGACAGCTCCGCAGGCTGTCGTGGCAAATGCAGAGCCAGCGACCCCATAATACTCAAAGTCCACTTTGGAAAGCCTTGCTTAGACATGTGACCTCAGAGTTTCAATCTCTGGTATCCTTTCTTCTGCTTGATTGATTCAGCTATTGAAACTTGTATATGCTTCACAAAGTTCTCATGCTGTGTTTTTCAGCTTCATCAAGTCGTTTATGTTCTTCATTCTAGTTAGCATTTCGTCTAACCTTTTGTCAAAGTTCATAGTTTCTTTGCATTAGGTTAGAACATGCTCCTTTAGCTTGGAGAAGTTTATTACCCACCTTCTGAAGCCTGCTTCTTTCAGTTCCTCAAACTCATTCTCCATCCAGTTTTGCCCCCTTGCTGGTGAGGAGTTGTGATCCCTTGGAGGAGAAGAGGCATTCTGGTTTTTGGCTATTTCAGCGTTTTTGCACTGGTTTCTTCCCATCTTTATGGATTTATCTACTTTTGGTAAGACGACTTTTTAAGGGGAAGGGAGACTGAAAGTCAGTAGCGAAGGAATAGGGGCCCATCATCTTGGTCAGTGAATGGGAGAGGTACACTTCCACTACCTTGTCTCTTGGGTTTTTTGTTTTAATAATTTTTAACTTTTTAAAATTTCACAAATCTGTAACAGCCAAATCTTCTGGGTTTTAAACATGGTCACAGATTCTTTTTTTGCTACTCATTGCATCAAGAAGTGGGGCGTCTGCCCCTCTGCCTTGTTTCTGGGCAGCTTGTGACTGCTACCAATGAAATACAGTGAAATAATGTAGCAGTGTGACTTCCAGGGTAAGGTCATAAAAGGCCTTGTAACCTGTATCTTGTTTGCTAGGAGAATTTGCACTTGGAGCCAATGTAAGAAGTCTGGTTACCTTGAGAGCACCGTGCTGGAGTGGCTGCACATTCTCTCTCTGATGGAGAATTATTCAGGGGTGCTTTTATTTCTTGCAAAATAGAAACAAAGTCAAACAAATAGACACTGCCATTGATTAGTTGTGGATGGTGGTCATATAGGTATTAGGTTTTATGTATTTAAACTGAGGCATGGAACCAAAGACAGATTCACCCTGACTTCCCAGAACTAAATGAAAAGAAAACCCCCAACTTTCCTCCCATAAATAACAAAAGGACCAGAGGCTGCTCTCTTTGCCAATACCCACCTTTTCTGAGGGGCAGACAGGAAATTGAACAAAAAAATTGCTTTTTGCAACCAATCAGAATCAGACTTTTTAGTTGTTGTTGTTTTTGAAATGGAGTTTCGCTCTTGTTGCCCAGGCTGGAGTGCAATGGTGCAACCTCAGCTCACCGCAGCCTCCGCCTCCCGGGTTCAAGCAATTCTCCTGCCTCAGATTTGTTGTTGTCTGTAAACAATGAGACTAATTGCAGGCCACCACTTCATTTACATGGGGTGAACACCAAGTGGCCAATGGAAACCCCTAAGGGGTGTTTGGACCCCAGAAGTTTCTATATCCAGGCCCTTAAGCTGCTTCTTGGCCGGCTCCCACACTGTGAAGTGTACTTTCAATAAATCTCTGCTTTTGTTGCTTCATTCTTACCTTGCTTTGGTGTGCATTTTGTCCAATTCTTTGTTCAAAATGCCAGGAGCCTGGACAACTTGTATCAAGACCCTCTACTGGTAACAGAACAAGCCCGACCTGGTATGCTGTATTTCAGTGAATGTTATTATAAATCAAAGATCAGACCAGATTTCTTGTTTATAAAATGGATTTCTTGAAGACTTTGTCTTCATTTTTTAACATTATATAACAAGCCTATCTTGAAACTGCCATGCTGTGAGGAAGCCCAAGCTATTTATATGGAGTGAAACAGATGTTCAGTCATCAGCTGTTTCTGCCATCCCAGTGTAAGTACCAGACAAATGAGTGAAGAAGCTCTTTGGGACATTATAGCCCCAACAGACACAAAGGGAAAAAGAATCAAGAAATCCGTCTATATGCTGAGCACAGTGCCTGTAATCCCAGCATTTTGGGAGGCCGAGGAGGGCTGATCACTTGAGGTCAGGAGTTCGAGATTAGCCTGGCCAGTGTGGTGAAACCCCATCTCTACTAAAAATACAAAAATTAGGGCCAGGCACAGTGGCTCACACCTGTAATCCCAGCACTTTCAGGGGCTGAAGAGGTGGATCACCTGAGGTCAGGAGTTCAAGACCAGCCTGGCCAAGATGGTGAAACCCCTGTCTCTACTAAAAATAAAAACAAATTAGCTGGGCATGGTGGCAGATGTCTGAATCCCAGCTACTCAGGAGGCTGAAGCAGGAGAATCACTTGAACTTGGAAGGCAGAGGTGGCAGTGAGTTGAGATCACCCCACTGCACTCCAGCCTGGGCAACAGAGTGAGACCCAGTCTGAAAAAGAAAAAAAATCTTGTTATGGCTAGGCATTGTGGCTCACATTTGTAGTCCCAGCACTTTGAGAGGCTGAAGCAGGAAGATGGCTTGAGCTTGGAAGTTCGAGACTAGCCCAGGCAACCAGCAAGATCTCTTCTCATTTAAAAAAAAAAAAATGTAAAAAAAATCTTGTTACAATTTTAATTGGATTTGCTTATAATTTATCAATTAATTTAGGAAGGCATGATATATTTATAATATTAACTCTTCCCTCCAGGATTGTGGTGTATTTCTTCAATGATTTGGAACTTTTAAAATTCTGTAATCCTGTATATTTTTCTTCTTACAGGTCTTGCAGATTTCTTATGAAATTTATGTCTAGTTATGGGTTTTGCTGGTATTGTTCATGGAATTTTTTATTTCAGATTTTGTTTCCTAATTACTCAGATTAATTTTCCAATACCTACCACCAGCTCTTTCAAGGCAGCTTATTGGGGTTAGTGGTAGCAACTCTTCTCTTGGAGATAGTCTTACTTGTCTGTATAAAGAAACATGCCATGTTCCAGGACAGAATGTACTGCTCTTAGGATGAATGGAGAGCAACATCCCTGTTGTCTGCCATGGTTGTCAGCCCTCCTTCAGGTGAGTTTGGCCTGTGATTTTCTGTCCTGTTTGGGCCTCAGATTATCTGAAAGGAATCATATTGAAGAGGGTGTTTCTGAATTTCCATGTTCTCATGTTTTTAATTCTTCACAGCCTACTTCAAACATTATTTGTTCTTGCTTCTGCCTCTATCTTTCAGATATTAGATGTAGTCAAAAACACTTGACTTTCTTCCAAACACAGTTAGGTGGACTGAATTCCAGTCCCAGCTCTGCACTGATGTGTGAGAATTCAAGTCAGTCAGTTACCTTGGAGGTCTGTGTCGTCCTCTGTATCATGATGGGTGTGGCTTGATGACTGCTAAGAAGCTAACAGATGCCAAGAGACAGCAAAGTCAAGGGGAAAGGCCTTGGGCTCTGCAGAGACACATCATGGAATTGAATGTTGGCTATCCAGTTCTTTGTAGTGTGTGGCTGTGGGCAAGTTGGCGTGTACAACTGCCTGTTTTCTGTGTTAAATTGAATATATCAACACCCTTGATGGCCAAGCGCAGTGGCTCATGCCTATAATCCCAACACTTTGGGAGGCCAAGGAGGAAGGATGGCTTGAGCCCAAGAGTCTGAGATCAGCCTGGGAAACATAGTGAGACCCCATCCCTACCAAAAATAATTTTTTTTTAATTAGGCATTTTGTTTCAAAAATTTCAGAGAAAGGCACCGGTATCTAGAGTCTTATTTGAGGGGCAATCTTCCCACCTCAGCTTCCTGCGTAGCTGGGACTACAGCTATACATGGTGGTACATTCCTGTAGTCCCAGCTACTTGGGAAGCTAAGGTGGGAAGGTTACTTGAGCTGGGGAGGTCAAAGCTGTAAAGAGCTAAGTCATGACTCAACACTGTATTCCGGTCTGGGTGATAGAGACCCCGTCTCTAAATAAATAAATAAATACATCCACTTCACATGAGCATAGTGAAGACTAGGTAGAAACACCTATTACCTTGTATCCAGCACTGTTCTTGGTGCTTTATGTGTATTAGCTCCTTTAATCTTCACAACTCTAGAACCTTCATTTCACAGTTGATAGAAACAGGTACAGAGAGGGTAGGTATCTCACTTGCCAGTCATACCCCGCTATGAAATACTCACATGTGGCAATGTAAAGCACACACAATATTTGGCACATATAAACTCCATCAATTAAGTCATCCATTGCAGTTCCGAAACTGTAATTTTTCGTATTTTGACATCTCCCTTCACAGACAGCTTTGGAAACGTTTTCTGTGGTTTTTGAACTCCACTTTTAGTTCTGACTCACACAGTCACTTTATCCTAACCACTTCCTGCAGCATTAAGAATTGTTTCCAGCTGCTAGTTTCTGCAGAGGATTGTCCTTGGAGGGTGGGGTGTCCACTGTGGTTCCAGTTGCAGCTCTGGAGCCAACACATGAAGATGCCCTCTGCAGGACAGTAAGAGAAATATCACATGAGGTTGGCTGAGATACGTGCCTTGGCACTGTCTTTATTTCAAAGAACCAAAGCTTTCTTGGGCGAATGGCCTCTTAGTCATTTCAGCTTACCTCAATCGCATTTTTAAAATTTCAGTTTCTGCTCTGGAGCTTCAGGGGAATTGAGGCATGAGACAATTATGCCCTAGTTAAAGAACAGTCTGTCTACATAAATTTTATGCCTGCAGAGTGTGTATGTGTGTGTGTATGTGTATGTATGTGTTAGGAGATAGGTCTGGGATGTGTTTCGTTCAGTACTAGCTCAAGGTTCCTTATTTGACTTGCTAATTTAAACTCATTCTACTTTGGAAACCTCTAATATTTTTTCTCTATGAGGAAAGTCTGCTTTTAAAAATCATTTGCCTAATCTTATGCACCCCAGTGAAACAAAGTCCCAGGCAATAAATTTGTAAAATTTTCTGTTATAAAAGTAATGGAGCAAAATATGAAGTTTCTCCTCTAAAATTTAGCTTGCCATATTTTATTTTGCTTTATTATTTCACACTGAGCATATATTTGTGGGCTATGTTTCATGAGTCATAAAACTTTAAAATGCTAATTGAAAAAAATTAAAACAGCTGGGCACAGTGGCTCACGCCTGTAATCCCAGCACTTTGGGAGGCCAAGCAGGTGGATCACGATGTCAGGAGTTCAAGACCAGCCTGGTGAAACCCCGTCTCTACTAAAAATACAAAAAAATTGGCTGGGCGTGATGGCGGGTGCCTGTAATCCCAGCTTCTTGGGAGGCTGAGGCAGGGAATTGCTTGAGGCCAACTCCTACCCCCAATTCTACTCTCTAGAGGTAGCCATATTTGTTTCTTTTCTTTTAAGATGGGGTTTCACTATGTTGGTCAGGCTGGTCTCGAACTCCCGACCTCAGGTGATCCACCCGCCTTGGCCTCCAAAGTGCTTGGATTACAGGCGTGCGCCACCACGCTCGGCCAGCTGTATTTATTTCTTCGTTTCCCTCCAGATAAATTTTAACTTTTTTTTTTTTATTGTTATTTACAAACATGGGATCATACTATCTGCACTGTACTGCAGACGTGCTTTTTCCATTGAATAATACATAGACCATCTTTGCACATTAGCACACAGAAATTCACTGCACTGTTTTCAGTGGATGCAGTGTAGTCCATGGAATGGATTTACCAAAACTTATTCAGCCAGTGCTCTGGTGACAGACATTTAAGGGATTTATAGTTTCTGACTAAATGGCAAGTGTGGCAGGCGGGGAAGTGTTCTAGGATTATCACTATGATATGTGTACGAAAGTGCCCCTGAGACTACCATGAATGTGAATACAGCCTCCTTATGCTTACCTGAAGATAACAGTCTTGACGGATAGAACTTCAATAGAATGTAGGACCTAGAAAAACAGACCATCTAGCTGGTTTTCCAAGATTTTTTGTGGGCTGCAATACGGTTGGATCAAAGGAAATCCTTCTTGACGGTTCAATACGTAAAACAGTTAAAAAGTAGTGACTGGTCTGGCATTAGTTGGGGGAGGTGGGGAGGAGGAAAGAGGGCTATGCCTATGAAGCTCCTGAAATAAGAAACCAGATGCATGTGCTTTCTCTGAGCCAAACCATTACCTCTCTGGCTCATGTTAGTAGATTTTTCCAAAGGAAACTGTACTCCAGGGTTCTGAGGGGGTAGAGAGTTTGAGAATCCTTGCTCTAGCCTGCCTCTGCTGATTGAGAAAACGGTAATGCTGCTGTTGGGCTGAAATATCTGTTCCTTTCACAGCTTTTGTCATAACTGGTAACTACCGTTTCTCTGTTCTCGGCCTGCTTGGAACAGGGGTCTTGCCTGACACGTGCACACTCGCACGTGGCACAGTAAGTGGGACACAGTAGGCACTCGGAAAGTATTTGCTGTAAACATGAATGAAGAAAGGCGACAGGCTAATAAAGGGTGGAAGGCTTTTAGGGTCAGTACAGCCCCGGGACGTCCCATTCCCGTGGGCCGCCTGACGCCAGGAAACACGCAGACTCCACTTCGCCGCGCCGCGCCCGGGATACCAAAGACTGCAACGACTCTTTCCCGATATACGGCGCGCGGCAACTCCGGCGAAAAGCAGCTATAGGCTGT